AAATTTATTTGTGTTTTTCTTGTTGCCATGTTCCCACCAATGACGTAGCTCCATTTTCTGCCTTTAAAAGCACACACAACCCACAATTCCTCTATTTGCTCCGACAAAGGGCTAACGCTTGAAACGTCAGCTTTTGTAATTGTTATGGTGGCCAATTTACCATTTCAACTTTGTTGATAATATCCATATTATTATAATACACTGTCAGATAACTTCTGGCTCCTTTTTGGCACAAGCGAGTTTGACTCCCAGTTAATGGACCCATCTCCTAACATTTTTTCACAGCCTTAGCGATCGTTAAGCTCACCATTCTACAGCTTGAGTCATCTGCGAAGCTTGCCGATTTTATGTAAAGCAAGAGGCCAAATGACTAAAATAAACTACCTCCTGCATTAAGAGATTTTCCATAAAAAATAATTTCCTTGTTTGTCCATTTTTTTGTAAAATGAAAAAGCTGTACATATTGCAACTGACTAAATGTGGAGAGCTGAAATTTTCAGAAAGTCAACGAAAAATTGACTGGATATTTACAGGTATAATTAAAAATAGAGTTGCTAGTCTGGCCATGAGAACCATCAGGAACGGTAATCTGCACTAAATCATGGCGCTTTGAAAGTAAAACGTTCTCTTTTTCTGAACACTTGCAGGAAAGCTGTGGGATTGTGGAATTAAGCTGCATATTAAATCTTTTTCTGAAAATTAAAATTTCCACACCACGCGACAGTGTGTTGCTATTTTTAGTGGTGAGCTTGTGTTATTTTTCAAAATGGCAATTGTGTTTCTTTGGACATTTTAAAACCACTTAGAACTTTCATTCGAAAGCACCAAAGTAAACAGGTCTAATTATGAAATCATTATAAGCTCCGTTCTTGCTAAATCTTCCTAAAGTAATTGCAAGTCGCTTCTCAGAGCGATCAATAAACACCTACAAACAAGGCTGGCTTGCCGGAAATTTGCACATAGAAAGAATCTTAGTTTGAAAGAAAGATAAACCCCCTACCGTGACTTTCCAAATCCATTGAAACACTGAAATAAATTAGACATTGATCATCTCAAGGAAAATCACGGTGTTCAACACATATTTTTGCAATATCCGTGCGGTTTATCACGTGTGAAGTGACAGGAACTATTGTTTCAATAATTATTATTTGGATTCGTGCAAAATCATGTGGAATGAAACGTGACAGTTACTTCGAAATCTTCAAACGTGAACAATTCGACTACGTGTCACGCAAAAGAATATTTTTCCTGCTAATAATGCTCATAATTCAACCAAATAAAATTGTAGCAGTTAATCATCAGATTTACCATAGAAGCGAATGCTGCACAAGAGGCCGAGCGCCCGCCGGCTGGGCGACCAGAATATTTTTTCAGTCTCCTAGTACCAAATGTTAGTCACCTGAGGTGACTGGGCGCCACTAGAGCACAGCCTTGCTGATAGAGCTTATTTGGGTCAATAGCAGAAGCTGTCTAAAACCAATATTTAACCCTTCTTTGTATGATGTATATCATCTGTAACACTTTTCATAAGCTTTGACAACCAGACAAATTGAAAGCTGCAGTGTACCTTGATCTCCATATCATTTTTCTGTAACTGGTGTTCTGCAGCAGACAACTCCTTTTTCAGCTCATCTACTATTTCTTCCAGCCTCTTCTTTGCTTCTTTGTTCTCCTACAGTTGTAATCAAAATATTATTTTGAGAGATTTTGGGACAAAAGTAGCTGATTTTAATAATCTGTGCACTCTGAAATGTATATTGTGCCTCACTTCTAAGAGCTCCCTTGATTTACACACATTAAATTGCTGAAACGAATACTGATTAAAAGTCACGGGATTTTGAATCTGAGATTTTAACAATTAATAATGCAAATACAGAAAGTAGATAAAATGATCCCATTAGTTAAAATACTTCCCATCAGTAAATACAGTCTTATATAATAGTTAGAATGGTCCAAACCTTTAAAATATGCTATCTAGACAACATTTTGTAACCAGATAAAATGGTCCAGTTAGTTAAAATGGTCAAACTATAAACAATGCTACAACAGCTTAACTCTTTAGGACCATTTTATCTGATTAAAGCATTTAACCTATTGAGTCAGTTTGCTAGACATAACGTCTCGTAGTCACGTTCGACGCACTAAAAACTACTATAAAACGAATACAAGAATTGTAAAAACGTGTAAAATGGTATATAAAAAGGCACTAGTAAAAATGTAGCGGAATTCCAAATCGATTTCGATCAATTACGATCCTCATCAGTAGTACTCCGCCATGTTCAAATTCAAATTAACCTAGTTGGACCTTTTATCAAGTTACACCAATTTTCCCAGTTAGACCAGTTAAATTGTCCAATGGGTTAAAATGGTCTAACTACATAAAATGGTCCAAGTGGTAGATGGTTAAATTATAGAAAAAGGTCCACCAGGTAGACATGGTGTAATTCAAGAAAATGGTCCAACTGGCTAAAATGATCAAATCGGGTAAAATGGTGGAACT